TCCATCCTGCGTCTTCTCTTCATCCGCACATGCGCCTCAAGGGACTCATAGAGGTACAACCCAACGTTACCACCCCACCCATGCCATAGCAGTATCATGACTATTATGAACACCCACCCCTGGGAGGTATTTGTTTTCCTGTAAACTGCGAACGAAGATCAAGAAATATTTTACAATAATTTCAAATTTCATAAAAAAGTTTGAACCTAAATTGCTATGGTACTCAAACTTGAAACTAAAATATTGACCTAAACCTGAACCATGAACCTAAACCCTCTAAACCAAATTGCTAGAGTGATGGTCTGGAGCTGCCTCGATGCTGAAGCGGATATTTCCGACACGCGGGAGTCTCCGGCGAGGGCGGGGGCTTCCGCTACCATCAAGTTTTAGTTAATAAAGTATCTATATATATATATATATATTATTTTATAAATAAAAGTAAATGTAGCAGAGAAAGCCGATCCGCGTGACCTGGATTTCCGGTCATGGATGCAGGCGGTCTGGGTTTGAGAGGTAGAGGGTATACAATGAGGGGTAATAATCTCATATATTTTAGGGGGTACATTACAGTTGACTCGGATATATCCGGCTAGTCCTAGGGGTAGGGGTACTCGAGTAACTTGAAATCTCGTGACAATGACATTCTCTGGTACGGGTACTTTAACGAACAAGAATGCGACAATCAGGGGTGGGTGGCAATTAGGCCAGGCGTTCGGATCCGGAAATCACAAGGTCACCTGCCGTAAAATTACGCGTCAGTGTGATCGACCATGAGAGTCAGCACGCTTAGCATGACTTTGATGACAGATATCTTTTGAACAATTCCTTGTTCGTATCCCCTGCAGAGGGATATGCTTACCCCGAGATGAAAAGAAGTCTTTTGGATATATCATTACCACAGGATCGAGGCCGCCAATCGGCGCAACAGAATTTATAGAAGAGGACGGCTACACGCGTTCCACACTAACAGCCTCCACACACAAAACATGCACGCGGGAATGGAAGAATTGATCAGCACGTCAGCGAACAAGAGATCGTTCAACGAGGAGATTTCCAAGGAGAATGCAGACGCCAACATGGTTAACTACAACAAGTGGGCCAACTTGCTGAGGACCTCATCCGATTACCGCTGTCCTGAGGACGAATGCCATAACTTCGATTTTAACGAAGAGAGGCTGCTCTGGGAAAGGGAATTCTGTCTCATCAACAACCAACAGCACTTGGATTATTGTTTCGTTGAGGAAGCTTCTCCAGAAATCAACCAATTCCTCAAGCTCTGGTAGACACCTATCAGAGTTCTGTTCACTTGTAGAGTATTTTAGTGTAAATAAACAATCACATCAGTCAAGTCTCTGGCCTTCATTGCGTTTCCAAACTTGATACTGGTGTATCTGGACAAGGTCTGCACACCCTTTGTCAGAAGGGAGCGCAAAGAATTCTCTCGTCCTGGCAAGACATTTTACAAATTTCTGGCAACAACTGCCGAGATTCATCCCACCATGACTTCACAGTGGCTCTGCAATCTAAAAGCAGCAGTGAGCGCTGATTGCAATAATCAGGCTCTCACTCGTGTTCTGTTCTATCGTGCAAAGTATCCGCACATTCAAGTTGGTCGACTTCAGGACTGAGTTGCAACACTCGGCCTGGCAGCCTTGAACTTCGGAACTAAGGCGGCAAGTTCAGTCGTGAGTTCACTGAGGGCCATCAAGCCAAGTCACCGAGCCGGGTCACTGCGGTCCGACGACGGTGAGCCACCAGACTGATGCGGAGACCGGTCACCGGGTGACCCGCCGGGCTCCGAGTGCAGCCGCCGCCGGCAGGGCGGGCTCAGTGCAGTCCGACAGCCCAGTGAGTGCTTTCATGCGCGACGATCAGAGCGATCATGGCAGATCGCCGAGTCGTTCACAGACGGTCACCGTCACGGTACGGTACATCGTGTCAGGCTACTCAGCGGCAGTCACTCAGGCTACTAGGCTCCGCCTTTACTCAAACTTGAACCCGACAGGCTAGAGTCTATCCGGCTACTAGGCTCAGCAGTGATCGGACTATCCGATGATCGGACTAGTGCCGCACTGACTGCGCCGCTGACGGCGGCGGCCGCAGTGCCGCGGCGGCGGCGGGCCCGAGGCCCGCCCGGCGGCGCCAGGCCCCGGCGGCGCCGGCGGCCGGCCCGGTCGGCCGGGTGAAATCAACCGTTATAAATGGAAGAGTGACCGTTACATTGTGTTCACATATAAGAGGAGATCAATTATTGGAGGTCGTGGAGATGCTTTAGTGAGGGAGTGAAGGCAAGAGATCACCAGACATACCGATCAGGACAGGACAGGACAGACCAGGACAGCACAGGACAGGACAGGACAGGACAGGACAGCACAGGACAGGGCAAGAGGAGTTGTAGGGGGAAGGGAGCTGAAAAAGCGCCGAACATGTGAGGTTAGGACGTAGACTCATGTTCTGAATGCTTGTGAGTAACTGTCAATGATATGCAACGCATGCTGGGCATGAAAGAGAAGAGGTCCAAGCTCCATGATGCGGAGGCTCAGGGTTTCTGTCAAGCTCCACATCAGTGGCGATTCGCACTCTCTTGGCAGTGACAAAGTCCTTTGGCAGGTCCAGTGCAGCAATGAGGGCCCAGATTCTGTCGTCTCTGTGTCTAGTGGCGCTTTGCCAGCCTACCTTTGCTCTCACCCAGATCTCCGTGCAGGCCTCGCGCCCCAACACCAAGAGCGTGGGAGCATGGGGCTCGGACTCGGACAGCCATTCCTGGATGGCTTCCAATGAGGCCTGCTTTGCCGCACCGCGTGCCCTGCTCCTGCACTCTGCTCCTCGTCTCTGCTCGCGCAGATGGTGAGGAGGACGATCCTTGTCAGTCGTGCTGCTCTGACTTCTGCTCCCTACCAGCGCTACGAGCTTCAGGTCTCCTGCTTCCAGCAGACGCCCGTTGAACATGCAACAGCAAACCGACGCGAAGGAGGAGAATGCGGGAAATCGAGCTCTGTCGTTCGAGGAGACGCTCAAGGAGATCAAGGAGCCTTGCAAGAAGGCGTGGGAGGGGTCAGCGACAGACGTCTACGACACTTTCGAGAGGTCCTCAGCTTCTCTTTCTCCTCCCTTGTGCTCATGGGACATGCCACAGGCTCAAGTCGCAGGGGGTCCTCAAGAAGTGGAACAGCATGCCTGTGAAGTCCCGCGCTGTCTCCCAGAACGAGCTCAAGAGGATGCTCAAGACTGAGCTCGACCTCGACACCGTCCTCGGCATCTCCGGGGGAGTGCAGACTGAAGATCTAAAGAAGGTGAGGAGGTGAGATGCAAGGGGCCCGAGCTGACGTCCAGCTCCAGCTCACTGTCGGAGCCTTCGCCTCCAGTGCCATCATCGGTGTGCTGGGGACTGCGATTGGTGGGGAGACGGGAGGGTTTGTCTACTGGCTCACCTTCCTCGGAGCCTCCATCCCACTGGTTCTGGTCGGCGTCGGCTCAGTCGCTCCCTCCCTCATCGGCGGCGTCATTTCCGGCCTTCAGTGGCAATTTGACAAGACCAACACGATGGAGCGGAGGATCAGGCACGAGGCTGCCCACATCCTCGCCGGCTACATGTGCGGCCTTCCCATCGAGGGATACGAGGTAGGCGGAGCATGCTGGTTGGCTAAGACGATCCCTGAGCCTCCTGCTCCTCAGGTCGAGCCCATGCCGATGTGCAAGTTCTACGACCGCAGGGAAGGAAACATCGACGATGTGGAGGCGTGGAAGAAGGCTCGTCCCTTCAACGAGGAGGAGGTGACGAGACACGTGGAGGAGCAGGCGCAGCTTACTCCTATGGCAGGTGGACAAGTTGGCCGTGGTTTGCCTGTCTGGGGTGATGGGAGAACTGAGCCTCTACGAGAGGGCAGCTGGGGGACAGCAGGACCTTGAGCAGCTGCAGGAAGTCTACTTCCGTGCGGAGTCGGAGAAGCTGAGGGTTCGTGACCTCCCGCTACCTGTGGCTGAGTCGTCTGACTTGAGTTTGTCTTGCAGAACAACCGCGTTAGGGAGGAGACGGCAAGTTCCCGCATGCCTCGTCTCGAGGGCCCTGACGTTTCTTGCAGACTCGCTGGGGAGCGATGAAGGCGAGAACGCTGCTGGAGGAGAACAACGACAGCTTCATGCGGCTGTGCAAGCAGCTCGAGAAAGGAGCATCCATCGAAGAATGCATCGCTTCGATCGAGGCTGCGTGAGCCGATCAGCTCCTCATCCTCCTCAACCGGCAGCTCTGCAAGTTGATACACTAGCCATGACGATCCCAAGGCCTTTGAGGCTTTGCCGCCCGCCAACTATTTGAAGTTATTTTAATGCAGCACGCGAGCAATCAACCAGGAGAAGCTAAACATACACTACAGACAATCTAGTTCGGACAGTGGCAGCTTAAGTCGAGCTGGGGAAGTTCAGACCAGCTGAGGACCAGTCCATTGACATGTGCGTGCTTCCTGCGCTCCTGTGGAATGTTTCCGCGTCTGGAGGTGACTCGACCTCTTGCTCCGCCGGGCTGCCCATGTAGGAGGAGGCGACAGACTCCACACGTGACGAGGGAGGCAGCTGCATATGGTGCACATCGTTGGGATCATGGAGTCGGAGGTAGCACAAGAAGTACTCGGGCTTCTTGTCCCGCCATAGACATGTCATCTGCGCGTTCAAATCTATCTCCTCCCCACTCGCTCTGACGCAGCGCTTGTTCAAGTTCACAGGTCCTTCTGAGCCGTTCAGCAGGGAGCCGACGGCCTAAAGAAAACCAGTCAGACGCCATCACAAACTATCTAGCAGGACGAAAAAGCAATCAAGCAGCAGGGAATCCGTCAACGGAAACTCAACACACCTGCATGGTGTAGGGCAAGTCCGACGGTGCAGTGAGAGAAAACATTGTCTCCCCACGCCATTTGCCAGGCATAAAGTTCATGATCTTCTCAAAGACTCCATTCACCCTCATGATCCTCCCGTCTGCTCGGGCGATCGCAATGCCAAAAGGAGCCGTGTCAAAGGCAGACAAATAGCGGAGGTGCGACAAGTTCACGCATGCACGACCAGCCTTCAACTTGCTAGCATCAACCATAATCGAGTTTTCTTCCTGAGTGCTATTCATGGATCTCTGCATGTTGTTTGGATCAGGAGAATTTCTGGGCTTTGTGGCATTGAGATCAACAGATTGAAGATAATCTAGCACTCCTTCCAACACAACATTGATGCCAGCACCGGGAGCATTATCTTCCATATTTGGCAGCATCTCTTGCAGTTCAGCGACATATTGCTTGGTGAGTTCTCTACGCTTTTGCTCAACTTTGTTATGTTTCACTTTCTTGTCTCCTGGTTCTTCATCCATCCGCGACGACGTCACGCTGTACGTATCATCGTCTTGCGCCATGTGTGAGTAAGGGCTATCTCTCATCTGCTGGCGGAGAAGTCCTGCAACAGACATTGAAGAGATCAAAAGTTCGCAATTCAGCAAGATCTGTGCCCTTCCCTTCCTGTATTGCTGTCAAACTGAGAGGTCAATCTAACTAGTTGAGTCGAAACTGTTTGCAATGTTTTGATCAAAAGCTCTTGATAATGAAATAGACCAGCTGTGAGAGAAAGACAAGAGGTGTCTGAGACCTGATAATTGAAAAACCACAAGAGCGAAGCTTCTCCACTTCGGAGCTGTGGCAAGAAATGCCCTCCAGGACCAAAAGGTCGTGGGAGGTCTACCCGAGTTGCACTGCAACGAGGTGGGAGGCAACGGCTATCAGACAAGCTCTCGAAGATGAAGTGAGAGCAGGACGGTAGCTTCCTGCTGCTCAACGGAGGTGACAGAGAGGGAGAGAGCCGTGAAGTCGACCCGAAGGGGAGGACGGTGCTAGGGAGAGAGGGGGGGCGAGGATGGGGAGTGTGGGAGCAGGCTGGGAGGGAGGGAAGTGACTAGGAGATAGGGGTGGGGGTAGGTACGAAAGGGGGTAGGGGTTATAAAATGGGTGGGTGGTTTTAACTCTCCAAGCCCTGAGCAGAAAGACTTGGGCTATGGCAAAATATCTATAGAGATTAATATAGAAAATGCGTGAGGTGGTAGAGGCTCTCGAGGAGATGGGGTCGGACTTGACTTTTAAGTGGGTAGAGGGTCAAGAGTAGTCGGTCCCGGTGAAGGGGTGGGTGGACATGAATCGGTCACCATGGGGTGGTATTTGAAGTCCGGGTCTACCTTAGGACTTCTGAAGGGGGGGTGGATGTCTGCAGATTACTAGAGCAAGATACAAAAGGGTGGGGTACTTATAGGGAATAAAAGGGGTAATGTGTCTTACGGCCCTGCAGTCGGGTGGGGGTTATCTCCATCGCCCAAATGGAGTAGGAATGGTACGGATATGGGGGTCATCAAAATGAGGGCTGGAGATAATAGGGGGTAGGGGTGGCGAACACTTATGGGTGGGGGTTATCCTCGACATCCTAGTAATAATAACCCATACTACATTCGTAATGCAAGGGTAGGGTGGTTAAAAACCAACATGAATTCAGGGGTGGACTTGGCATGAGGGTAGGGGTAGTCTTACCTCTTTTCGTCAGTACAAAAAGATAGAGAGACAGTCGAGATGAGGGATAACTAGCTGGAGGGTAGGGGTACATGCAGACTATTGCGACTTGTCTTTACAGAGTGGGGTGGGGTGGTGGGAGGGGGTGGTAGACAGAGCAAGGCTTTATTTGACTAAAAGAATTCTTCTCGGTCCTAGAAATAGGTTTTAATTAGGACCATCATAGGACCTCTTGAGGTTAGAGGGACATAGCATATGTCATCCTATACATGGGTCTTAGAAAGGTGGGATATGTTGTATGGGGGGCTGGATAGGGGGTGAGGTCATAGAATCGTAATTGATCAACCGCCCGGGGTGGGTGGGTTTTCACTAGCGCAGGGGTACGATAAAATGTACTATCTGGGGGTAGGGTAGGAACAAAGAGGGGTAGTTGGGGAACACTCCAACCCCCTAAGGTCTCACTACCCCCAGAATACAAACTGGCAACCCCGTGCTTTTACTCCATCTGAAGGGGTCAGGGTGTCGAGATAAGTTGAACTGGGAGGGGGGTAGTAAAGTAGGGAGTTTTAAATTGATTCTGAACAAGGAGTGGTGGGTAGGTTTTGAGAGAGGATGAAGAGGGTAAAGAGATCGATTTAGGTGGGGTGGGGTAGTCAATTGTGGGGGTAGAAGGAACGGGAGTAGAGGGTTGCCTACTTTTAAAATATTCCAAAATTAAAATATTCCATAAAATATCCGAAAATTTTTATGCTGTGATGGGAGGGTGGGGTACTTCTTGGTTGAACATAGGGGTGATGTGACTTGAGCGGCGCGGCCAGGCCAACTTGCCCGGGCTGGCCCCGGGCCCGGCCACCCGGGCTGGCCCCGCCCCGTGGCCGGGCCCGGGGCCGCGACAGTGTGCTCGCCCGGCCGCCGGGGAAACTTGGCACAACCCGGTGACCGTCCGACCGTCACTCACCCGGATCCGGTGACTCCGACTGAGTACTGCACCCGCGGACTCGGATATGATGTCTGCATTACTTTGGCATAGAGGCTACTGAGTACATTGCCACGGAAGCCTAACACTGGCACCCAGCGCCGGGCCCGCCGCCAAGCACTCACGCCGCTGCGGTACCCGTACCGTACCGTATCCTGTACCGCCGATCAGAGCCTGTACGACGGTGCCAGTCCGCCGATCCGGGCCATCCGCTGACAGTGCCGCCCCGCCCGGGCGTTCACTGGCAACTCAGTGCCGCGCGGTAACGAGTCCGATCTCATCACTGATGGCGTTGCCCGGCTCGAGTCGGCCTCGCCGAGCACTCCCACTGATTCCGATCCTAGTGACTGATCCGAGGTGAACCGTCGGAACTTCCGGCCCAGTCCCGGGCCGTCAAGTAGTAGAGATAATGCCGCGTGAGAGGAGCGACGCGCAGACTTTGGCTCGGGGGGTCTCGAGGATCTGAATGCTCCGACGAAACATGCCGCTGACACCGTCCCCGCCGCTGACGCCCATCCCCTGCTTGATGGCGACACGAGCTAGCGAGCTGTGAGGGGCGAGCATGGAGGCAGGGGCATCGGAAGAAAGGAAGGAGATATCCTTGTCCCGGAAGATCCTCTTGAGCAGGTTCCGGTCCTCGTTGGTTTCGTCCAGCTCACGGACCCTCCACGTTCCCTCCGACTTGTACCACATGGTCATGCACAGGAGCCAGTGTCTGCCATGGCTCGACGTTAGCATGGAGTTCCTCAGAGGAGAGGGAAGGGAGGAAAAGGCCGAGGCAGGAAGCAAGTCAACGGCGAGGAAGGGCAGGGATAAACTTCGTGAGCGAGCGAGCGAGCGAGCGAGGCCCGGGAGGGAGACAGGAGGAAGGGATGGAGATACATCAGCGTCATTCTCCGCAGAGGCTTCGCACACTCTTGTGCTGTCGTCAGGCTGACCATGTGCTGCTCATCAACCTCGTTGAAACCTGCGAGCGTGAAGTTTGAGAACGGCTCCTCGTTACTCTATCTTGTCATCCTCGTCACCGCACTCTCCTCACCTGCGGGTTCGCTGCGCTGCATCCCTTCATTTCCGCTGCTGAAGTGCTCCTCTCCACCCTCCATGTCAGGTGTAGCCTCCATCTCATTCTTGCGGGGCCTCGTCGCATCTTTGAGCAACGTGGATCAGCATGGATGGACGGGGAGCGATACCCTGCCCTTCACTCACCGATGATATGGCTGATCTCTCGCAGAGCAAGGACCGTCTTTGCGCGCGAGATCGCCTGGTCCGCCCGCTGCATCCTCGACTCATGGGAAGAGGAAGGCTGCGAGCAAATCCTGAGATCGACTGCCCTACTCTGCTCTGTCGGCACTGATCTTGACCGGGCAGCCGACAAGTCCCGACCCATCATGAGGGCTGCTCTCCTAACCTTTGGCGGTTTGCTGTGAGGGCAGGAGTGAGGGAGTGATCTGCTGAGGGAGAGAGGTTGGGGATGGGAAGGACAGGACGGGACGGGACAGGACAGGACAGGACAGGACAGGACAGGACAGGACAGGACAGGACAGGACAGGACAGGACAGGACAGGATAGGACAGGACAGGACAGGACAGGACAGGACAGGACAGGACAGGACAGGACAGGACAGGACCGGGGAGGATTAGATGTGTAATTGAGGGTTGGGGAGCAAGGGGGCGAGAAATGAAGCATACATCATCCAGGGGGAGACGATCTCTTGGAAGAGCTTTGAGAGCCTGAGGGGGTTGAAACAAGTCTCGGAGATCTCGGGGACCAGCGTCAGAGCTATCTCGGACGCGTGATCGAACGACTGCGGCATGACGGTGACTCGGATGGGAGGTAGGGGGGATGAGGATAGCAGCACCTTGAGCATCTCCTCATACAGGTTCTGACGGTGGGATGGAGCAAGCTCCAGCCACCATCGCTGCAGCCTGTGCTCGATGGGCCGATGCTGCAGCGCGTTGCTGGAAGGGGTTGCCAGTTTGACGTTCTCCTCGATGACGACGACTTGCATGCTTTCCGCATGCTCGTGGACGACGTTGAGGAGCGTCGCCGTGTCTGCTTGGATCAGCTTTGCCTCGTCAAGACTGTCATAAACTCCTGCACGCTCGTAAGGAACCAAGAGGCTTCTCCTCGCCCTCTAACCTCTTCTCGGCCTGCTCGTCTCTACCGCAGCGCGCGGTGGTTTCCTCGGGCTCCTTAGCACTGGCGCGAACGTCACGAAGAGGAAGAGAAGGAAGAGAGACAAGGCAAGGGGAGGGAGGCAGGACGGAGGCACAGTAGCGAAGTGGGAAGAGGAACAGAGGGAGGGGCAGGGGTCTGAAGAATCTCGTCACCTCGTTTGCAGCACTCGCATCGAGCAGTCATGGAGCCATCCTCTCGTCCATTGAACAATCGCAGCGGCCGATAGTCGATGCCGCTTCTGTGCGTCCTGCGCCACGGCGGTCACCACCACTCCTCTACTACACATGCCAAGAGGACCGGGCAGACTGAACGAGTTTCATCTCCTGGGGGGTCGGGAGGGAGAGGAGCCTGGGAACCAGCGGTGGCTCGCTTCCTGCTGACCTGACGGGGCGCCGAGAAGGGCTCGGAGTTTCAGGGTGGGACTGAACCTCGTCGAGCCTCTGCTTGTAGTTCTTGTACGACTTTTTGATCGAGTCGTTCATGTGGTCGATCTCCGAGGTCAGCGAGCTCAGGGCTCGGAGCAGCTCGACGTTGCGAGTCATGCCAGTGTCAACGACTATCCTGGAGCGCAACTCAGTACTACTACTTTCGCTGAGTTTGCTGTCGAACTGAAAGAACAGAAGTTAGAAGAAAAGGTCAGTGATCATGATTGGACTCCTGCTAGCTCCCTGTCTTATCTTCACACGTATATCAGAAATTAGATAGACAGTAGGACACGATTAGGCAATCAGGCAGAGGTAATGATGTGAGCATAATGGGGCCCTATACTAACACGTTTTTCCAATCAACGAGACTGCGGCAGTCATCTAATCCAATTATCTGATTCTCCCATCACTGCCCGTAAGCTGAGTCTTAGAGTCTCGCTTCTGCTCCTCTCTTCTCTGAGTCTGTTTTGTTCCGCCCGGCAGGTTTTGTCCTGCCCGGCAGGCTCAGTGAGGCTCTTCTCTGTCTTCCCTTCCCTTCTTTTCCTTGAAGTTCTCCTCCCTTCTCCTCTCATGCTTCTCCTGTTCCGAAGCCCTTGTTCTCGTCTTGTCAGTGTTGGACTCTCCACCTTCCTATCGCCATTGCGCTGCCGGGAACGCCAAGTCGACATGGCGGCCTTTGTCAACCTAACGGCTCCCACAAGTCAAGATGAACTGAATCGATTCAAATCGTCTTGCCTCCCCTCAGAGAACTATTTGAATCAAATAAATTCTTAAAAATCAGCGAATTAAATCAACACAATCATGAATCTCCCACCCTCCCCCAGAACAGGTGTAGGACGGGGTGTGCTGATTTGCAATGAAAATTTTAGAATCTTGTTTAAATTTTAAATTAATCCAGAATAATTCATGCTAATGGCCAAACTGGATGGAGGCCTCGTGCTGACTCAGCAAGCGCGAGAGAAAAAAAGAACTGAGGGAGGGAGGTAGGGGGGTAGGTACTCGCAGGAACGAGAAAAAAACAATAGATTGTAGACTAAAATATGAAGTGATATTGTATATGAATAAAAGTTTTATGTAGTGAATTTTGAGGCGGGCTCATTTGAAACAAGATGAACAAGGAACTGTTGTCGGATCGATCAGAGTTTGTGCCAGATAGCTCACAATCTGGCTTCTATCCTTTTTTCTACCTGCGAGCCCGCGCACTGCAAATATTTGTGGCGCCATGGCGACGCAAACGGAATGTCTTGTCCCTGCGCAGCCGCAATGGCAGGACATGCCAGCGGGCGAGAAGCCTTCCTTCCAGAAGTACCGCCTTGAGGTCTACCTCCGCTCCTCCCTCCTCCCTCTCCTCCCTCCCCGCATCCTCCTCTTACCCATCCCCATCTACCCATTGGCGCAGTAGGTTCCCTGTACTGTGGGAGGGGATGGCTGTGGCAGCGCTGACTTGAAGCTCGTCAGATGTTCGAGAAGATCAAGGCCAAGCGTGAGGCTGAGAAGGGAAATCTTCCCAACGACCCCATCAAGGTCACCCTGCCTGACGGGAATGTCAAGGAGGGGGTCAAGAACAAGACCACCCCCTTCGATATCGCCATGGAGATCTCCAAGGGCCTTGCGAACAATGCCGTCGTTGCGAAGGTCAATGGCAAGACCTGGGATCTTCATCGCCCCTTGGAAGGTTCGCTCTCCTCCCCTGCTCCCTCCTCCATGCTGAGTTGCCGCAAGGCGACGCTGAGCTCGAGCTCTGCAAGTTCGACAGTCCTGAGGGACGAGAGACCTTCTGGCACTCCAGGTGAATCTCATGCTCGACTGCGTGTCTGCTCCTGTTCCTGCATCTGGTTGCGTGACCCTCTCTGTCTCGTGAGTGCTAGACTGTCGCCTCTTACCCATCTCTACAGCGCTCACGTCCTCGGCCTTGCTCTTGAAAACAGGTTCGGCGCACACCTGTGTGTCGGGCCCGCCATTGATGATGGCTTCTACTACGACGTGTACGCGGGTGAGGGGCACGTCTGCTCTCCTGCCGTCATGCCGCTGACCGCGTCGCAGGCGGGAACACCATCTCTCCCAGTGACAAGGAGGACATCGAGAAGTATGTAGATGAGGTGCCAGTGGTGCGTCATGATGGGTGGGGGGTGACGTTTCTGCGCAGGTGGTGAAGGGCAAGCATCCCTTTGAAAGAGTCGAGATGTCCAAGGACGAAGCACTGGAGATGTTCAAGTACAATGACTTCAAGATCGACGTGCTCAAGAGAAAAGTCAGCCTCTTCCTGCGTGTTTCGTGTGCTAAGCCTTGCCATCGCAGGTTCCTGATGGCGCCATGTGCACTGCTTACCGCTGTGGTGACTTGATTGATCTCTGCCGTGGTCCACATGTAGGGTTCGGGCATCCAAAGAAACAGCGGCTGACCATGTGGCAGCTTCCGGATACTGGAAGAGTGAAGGCTTTTGCTGTGATGAAGAACTCTTCCGCGTAAATCTCACAAGAGATGGAGTGACATTCGTTCTGATCCATCGTCCTAGTTACTGGCAAGGACAAGCAAGCAACCACACGCTTCAGCGTGTTTACGGTGTGTCATTTCCAGACAGCAAAGAGCTGAAGCAGCACTTGTAAGAACACGGGTGCCATGTGTCATGCTACGCCTGCTGACGGGATCGGGTCATCAGGTTCCGACTGGAGGAGGCAAAGAAGCGAGATCACCGCAATGTGGGTCCCCACCAGGAGTTGTTCTTCTTTCACGAGCTCAGGTCTAGCTCCCCATTCGCTCCACCAAGGTTTTGACGTTTCTTGTTCAGCCCTGGAAGCGCTTTCTGGCTTCCGCATGGAGCAAGGATCTACAACAAATTGGTTGACTTCATTCGGTCGGAATACTTCAAGCGTGGCTACCAAGTCATCCTTCTGATCCCGACTTGAATGTCAAAGCTCACGCTTGGCTGCAGGAAGTCATCACCCCGAATGTTTACAACTTGAAGCTGTGGGAGATCTCGGGCCATGCGGCACATTACAAGGAGAACATGTTCATCTTCAATGTCGAGGGCCAGGAGTTCGGCATGAAGCCGATGAACTGCCCTGGCCATTGCCTCATGTTTTGTAAGCACATGAGTTGAACCCAGTCGATGAGGCCTGACCTGCCGTTCGTTAGCCATGCGTCAACGATCGTTCCGTGAGCTGCCATGGCGTGTTGCCGATTTTGGAGTAAGTTTGATGCACATCTCATCACCTCAACTTAGAGTTGTCTCAGGTGCTTCACCGCAATGAGCTCAGCGGTGCACTCTCTGGATTGACTCGCGTGCGTCGTTTTCAGCAGGTTTGAAACGCGACCAAGTGACTTTCAGTCAGTCACCCTGCGCCCCTTAGGATGATGCGCACATCTTCTGCAAACCTGAGGATGTTCAGGGTGAGATTGAGGACATGCTCAAGTTTATCGACTTCGTGTATGGTAAGTTGAAAACAGCTTGCCATAATTGCCTCCACTGTTGTCGGCCAAGGTTGATGGTTTGGTTTGCCTTGTTCAGGCAAGTTCGGACTGCAGTATGAGATGTTCTTGTCTACAAGGCCGCAGAAGTTCATCGGAGAGGTCGCTATGTGGGATGAGGCAGAGAAGCAGGTCAGGATGCAAGTTCGCCATCAGTTCGCCGTGGTGCTGATCTGCATGGTAGCTTGCCGCTGCTTTGAACAACACCGGCAAGGCATGGAAGGAGAACCCAGAGGTCAGCAAGGCTCAGAGTGAAGGCACTCGACTTGACGGCAGATCAGGATGGAGCCTTCTACGGTCCCAAGATTGACATCAACGTGTTTGACGCTCTGGGCCGCAAGCATCAGTGCGCGACTATCCAGGTAAGACGAACAAGCGCGACATCGGGACTCTGAGCATGGCTACTCCAGCTCGACTTCCAGCTGCCCATCCGATTCGGCTTGAAGTATGTGACGTCTGCTGGTGCCGACGGAGGAGACAAGGAGGAGAGGCCCATCATCGTTCACAGGGCAATCCTGGTGAGAGCTTTCATCGTCGCCCTGACCAGCGAGTGATGGGCGTGTAGGGATCGGTGGAGAGGTTCACTGCTATCCTCATCGAGCACTTGGCTGGAAAGTGGCCTTTTTGGCTCTCTCCCCGCCAGGTTCAGGACTGTGAGGAGTTAGAGGTGATGATGTGGCGTGTCGGCAGGTTGCGATCGTTCCTGTCTCCCAGGATCACTTCGCGTACGCCTACGAAGTGCAGCAAGTGTTGATGAAGGAGGGCTACTACGTCGACGTGGATGATTCCTCCAAGACGTTGCAGAAGAAGATCCGCGAGAACCAGCTCGCTCAGGTGAAGCTGCCGAAACCCTGCAGCTCCATGTGCTCAAGTTGGCTCTGCAGTACAACTACATCCTCGTCGTCGGCAAGGAGGAGATCGAGTCCAAGACGGTCAACGTTCGTACCCGAGATAACGTTGTGCACGGTAAAAGACACCAGCGATCTACCTCCTCCCCAGCGATCTACCTCCTCCCCCTCACCCTCACCCTCCTCCTCCCCCTCCTTTCTCTCCTTCTCCTTGACGTCTGAACCAGGTACCAAGAGTATCCCGCAGCTGCTGGCCGAGCTCCGACAGAATGTCGTGGAATTCAAGTGAAGGGGTGGGGATGTTGACGAGTCTCCTCTTGCCTCCACCGCCGAATGTTGATAAACGGGGCTCGAGGGTCGAACTTTCAACTTCTTTACTTTCCGGGCTCAAAGTCAGGGTCGTCGGAGTCGCTGTCCGGCAGCTCGTCATCCAGCGTCTGGAACAGCGACTCGTCGATCCCTGCACCCTCGTCCTCGTCCTCGTCGTCGAACTCCTGCGGCAACGACCTTTACCAACTTGCACACCACATGCTCTCCAGCAGCTGACCTCCTCGTCCTCCTCGTCCTCCTCGTCCTCTGGGAACTCCTGGACGGCCAGTCACTGAGATGGAGGAGAGCAGCAGGATTTACCTCGTCTTCGAACAAGGTCGCGTCGTTGAAGCTGCAGCAAAACTTGAGAACGAGCGAGCACGAGGAGGTGAAACTCGTACCCAACATCCGTGTCCATGTACAAAGATGCATCTCGTTCGAACAGCTGCCGACCTGGCACGCTGTCATACTCTCCCTCCTCTTCCTCCCCGTTACTCTCCACTCCCTTCCCATCTCCCTCCTCTCGTTCCTCTCCTCCTTCGTCCTGACGCTCCATACCTGTTGGTCTCAGCAGCTTCTCCTTCAACCCAGCCGTGATGTCCTTCCTGCATGTTTGTCAACTGTCTCCTCCACTCGCTTCCTCCCTTGCCGTTGCGCTTCGATATCAGCCTCGAACTTCGCTCTCCAAGCAAAGAAATTGTCGGGGTTCACCTGCATCCTCGTCATGATCCTCTTGTCCCTCTCCTTCTCCCCTCCCTTCCCCTTCCCTTCTCAAAACCACACCCCGTCCCCTCCCCCTGCTCCCCCCGTGTGGTAGCTACCGGCGTGACCCCGACCACCCCCTTCAGAATGCCGCTCTGAATGCTCGTCAGGCTCTCTATGACACGAAACCAGACCCTTGCCTTGTTGCGCTTCTTGCTCTCGTCCTCCTCCTCCTCCTCCTCATATGCGCCCCAATCCTGCGCTGCACAGTGAGACAGTGGCCTGAAGAAGAGCAGCAGGAGGTGGAAACAGGTGCAGCAGCAGCAGCAGTAGGAGCAGTAGGAAGGGGAACAGGAGGATGAACCTGAGCGGCACTCAAATTGTTTGACTCGAGCCACTCCTTGGCAGCCGTTACGAGGTTGAAAACCATCGCCTGCATGGTGATGAGAAAGAAGCACGACGTGGGGCAGCAGCAGCAGCAGCAGCAGCAGCAGCAGCATGACAAGGACAAGCATGGCAGGAACATCTGGAGAATCTTACGCATCCCAAGAGGTTCTGAGCCTCAGCATCTAGATGTTGCTGCAGCACCAGTCACGCTGCTTCCTCGACAGCAGTATGAGCAACTTGCCTTGAGCGCAGCCGCATGCTTGGGGAGGATGTGAGAGTAGCGTACTTCGATCTCTGGAGCCTCTTCGGGGTACCTGACGGAGCAATGAGTGACGTTTCCTCGTCCTCACTGAGGGAGCAAGTACAAAGTAGGAGCACAAGTATGATGAGAAGACAAGAAGGTGAAGGTGAGGGTGAGGAAGTGGAAGATGGAGGAAGAGACGAAGGAGAAGAAGGATATGAAGGAGGAGGAGGAAGAAGAGGAGGAGAGTCTCTTCAGGCTCATACTTTTCAGGGAACGTGATCTCAAGTCGAACAGGCTGAGCCGAGTTGCCTTCCCTTTCTTGCGCTGCTTCTGGATCGACAGCTACTCGAAACTGATGCACAGGGTGAGGAGATGGAAGCACGTTCATCAAGGAAAAGGCAGGGTGATCAAGACGAGCACCGAAACTGGGACGGGGACGGGGACGGGGACGGGGACGAGGTCGGGGGAAGAAGAATCAATACAAGGGTTCGGAGAGGAAGGAAAGAGTCTGCTAACCTTGTAGGGTGCGCCTTGTGACAGCATGTCGAAGAAACTGATCGAAGAACCATGGTGAGCTCGCAAGATTCGGGAAGGATGCATCTCTCTCTCGACATAACAGTACAATTGACCTTGCACGTCATCTACGATTGTGATCTTCCCCTAACGCTAATTTAATGCACCCTCCTCGTCCTCCTCGCAAGGATTTCCCTCTTGGATTGTCGGGTGCAAAAAATCCTCTTGATTATTCAACCATAGCAAACGTGCGGTCTTTCTGCGTCATCCTCATCTCATCTTGTCCCTTCTCTGCATCATATCTCCTCCTCTCCTCCTCTCACCCGCAGTAGATCGACTCCAGCGCCTCCACCTCGTCCGCCTGCTCCGTCGCATGCTCCATTGGCTCGTTTGGCGTCCACCACCCCTACCTCTGGACCAAGTAAGTAGAGAACTACCCACGATATCTTACAAATTTCAATTGTTTTTCTGTAATTATAAAATATTTTCTGATAATCCTGAAATATTTGAAAACAAACTCATATTTGGATTACCCCTACCCCCAACACCCCACCCCACCCCACACACCACCCCTGATGTATCCGAATAAGTATCCGTGACAGTATCCGGGGCAGGCAGCGGCTGCCAACCATGAAGGTGCGGGCGGCGGTGAAGAAGATGTGCGAGCACTGCAAGGCGGTCAGGAGGCGAGGAAAAGTCTACATCGTGTGCTCAGCCAACAAGAAGCACAAGCAGCGCCAGAGGTTCCACACCCTTGCTCCCTCTGCGCTCTCCCACGAGGAGGCGGATATCTCTTTGTCCTCCATGGCGCCTGGATCAGCGTCAGCCATGCTCTCTGATCCCTCGCCCCTGTCGACTTCCCTGTCAATGCACTGGCTCAGCCAAGCAGTGAACATGTGGGGCTCCAACATCTCGCGGGCTGAGGTGACTGGAGTCTCTGAAACTAGTGGAAACGTTCTCCTCAGAAAAGACGTTCAGTCGCTCATCTACCTGCCCTCGAGCAAGCACTGAGCTGACAGGTGGGGAGAGAATCCTCCCATGCCTTTGCGTCTCAACTAGACTGTGTGGACAGATTAAGCAGGTGGGAATACCAGGTGGATGATCTTGTTACGACAGACCGATAGCATGTTTTAATAAAATTCACGCTGTGTGGCTAAATGCTATGAACTTTTTTCTGTGATGTAACACAAAATTCTTGCTAATCGTGCGATGTAGTCAAGATCTTCCCCTGTCATGACGATCACAACCCGGCCATCAAAAAAGTCATGCGTGCATCACCGTTCAACTTGGCGATGGCCTTCTTGACGTTGCCCAGGAAATTCAGCAGCTCCGGGCTCCTCGGCTGCTTGTGGAAAGAGCCGTCTCTGTGTCTTCGAAACTTCTTGAGGAGTTCCGCAGCAACGCTGTGCATGCTGTCAACCAACAAGCCAACACACTCTTGGACAACTCACATGCTCCCCTCCCGCACTACATGCATCTTACCCCGTTGGCTGTCCGCAGGCAAACATCTGCAGCAATAAAGCATCAGGAAGAAGCAAGAGAGGAGGGAAGAGGAGGGGAGGGAGAGAGGAAGGAGAGGAGGAGGAGGAGGAGGAGGAGGAGGAGTCACTCACTTATACTGTGAGTAGACGTACTGAAACAATTTGCCGGTTGATTGTGAGAAGTTGTGAGCCTTCATCGCGTCCGACTCGAAGGTGAGGTACTCAACATACTCAACGGCTGCCTCGAAGTAAGCCTCCAACCGCCCCTTGAGATCATCGCTCCTCCCCTTCTCGTCCCCTTGCTTTTTCCTTCGCTCGGCACCCTGGAGCTTCGCCTCCCACTCCGCGCTTGTCTTCTCTGAGAGCTCATCGTGCACGCGGTGGTCGTCTTCTATCGACAGGCTCGTTCTCGATCTCTTGCTTTCGGCCGACTCGTACTCGCCGCTCCTCTTCCTCGACTGATAAGCTCCGTCCCCCTGCGCCTCCGCATGCTCCACCTCGTCGGAGTTCTCGTCGAATATCCTTGGAGAGATCGGAGAGAGTAGAGAGGGTCGCATCTCGTTCAGCTCCACCACGATCTTGACGATGTTCTCTGCTGTTGGCGCTGCGTCTTTCTGCATGGCCAGGAAATTCTTTGAGAACATCATCCAGTGTCTCTCCCGCGTGTACTCGTGCTTGTTGGAGTTGTGCGAGCCTCCGTCCTTGGTGACGTGCGGGACAGCTAGATCTGGTTCGCTCACCTTCGCCAGCCTGATGTCCTTGAAGTCCCGACAGCCTTCAATCTTCAACAACCCGGCATATGTTTGAATGGGTTTTATCGGACCACAATGCAAGTATTGCTCGAGGATCCTCTTTCTGATATCCGGTTCTTGAGGCAGGAAGTCTCTCGTTGCGCTCCTTTGCAGCCAGTGACCTCGTAATCTCTCCATGATGGGATCCACGTTATCCATGGAGGTAAATTGTGACACAGTGAGCATGGTGTCGCAAGCCTTACAAATACAATCGATGAAGACTTTCTTGTAGACAATGTGCAGTTTCTGGTGGGAAAATGGTCGCCAGATGTTCAAAATCCAATTGCCCGTGTCACTTTAAAGCATTTGCACAAGGAGGTAGTCAAATGACGGCCAGATTGAACGTGCTACCTTTTGACGCGTAAAACAGCCTAAATGCCCAGAGCAGCGTCTCAGAAGCAGGATCTTGTGCCTTTAGGTAGCCAAAAACGATTCTTATGATGAAAAAAACTGAAGGAACTCCTATCTCCGACAAACACTGACACAAATGAACTTCATAGTCTGGCCTTCATTCCTCCAGGGTTGGCGGCGATTCTGGACAAATAAGTGTCAAGCGTCTGGAAGTCAAGGAGGAGGGGGGAGCCATTAGGAAGAGATGTTCGAAAGGATGATAGTCGTCAATCAAGACAGTAGTTTACCTTCTCCTCCCAACCTCGTCCTCGCACTGCTCACCATCACTACCGCAGCCGCCATATCCAAGGCCTGGGCGCACCGTTTTAAAAGTCTTTAAAAGTTACCCCCCTCAAATAAAAATCAAAGTTTTATATTTCAGTACCAGAGATCTCGCTATTTGTGAGACAAGATCAACCTGGAGCAAGATATAATATGGTATATAAATTGAGCTCGGTTTTTAAGTTCATGAAGAAACCTGTACAAAGAACAAGGCATTGTTGTGGAGAATATCAGGGATCTGTAAAACCCTTATAGAAATAAAAGAGTATTGAGCGAAGAGATCTGTACGCCGGTCGAACACCTGCTGACGACTAAATATATATATATGGTAGCAAAATATGTTTTTGGTACCTGCGAAAAAGAATAAAAAACCAACATCTAAAACTCACTTTTAAAAGGGCTGATGGGAGAAGAAGAGGCTGTTACGAGTCCTAGGAAGACTACCCCACCCCCTCTGCCATCGGAATTTAAAAAGACCCCACCATCCAAAAGCTGGTCAAAGTACCCGGTGATTTTGTGTAAAGTCAGAGGGAGGGGGTGGGTAGTAGGTCTGGAGGGTAAAAGCCGTCGGAGAGCAACTATCAGTACTCATCGGTCAGTGATGATGATCATCGGACTCGGGCCGGGAGGAGGCCCGAGCCGGTGCTCGCCCGGTGACACAATCCGATGCTGCTCACTCACTGGGCTGGTCCGACTCTGCGGCACGCACTCGGAGGCTCCGAGCAGTCGGCGGCCCGGCCCGGCGCCGCAGCTGCCAGTGAGCAGCCGGCGGCGGGCGGCGGCCGGGCGGCCAGGGCCGGCAGTGGCCAGTGACCGTCGGAAGAAGAAGTTCAATCAAAAATCAAGTTGCCAGTGATGACTTAGTGACGATGATGATTGTGACAGTAAGAAGGACTGAGGAAGACGGGGAGAGAGAGACGGGGAGAAGGAACTTAGAGTCAGAGTCATCGGACAGGGCTCTTGGCCAATCGTGACGGCGACGAGTAGCGATAGCGCGACACGAAAAAAGCTTGTGTGCGACTCTCAGCTCTGCTCATATCACTTAGCACGCAAACTTCCTCCGTCCTCCCGCGTACCTTCGAGTTGTCGCCCTCATGCAGGCAAGTGCAGCGCCGACGAGGCTCTGGGGAGGGTCAGCGGGGCCCAGTAGCCTGAAGGCACAAGGGAGGACCTGCGAGGACCGGGTCGACTTCTCGGACGTAGCGACAGGCTTGAAGCTGCCGGGGGAGCAAGGGTCACTGAGCAGAGGGACTGAGTCGCGGGCCTCGCACCTGGTGGCAGAGCTATGAGACAGGTAGCGGTGCCCCTCGTACAAGCTCGACTGCTCCACGTCATCGGGAGGCCACGAGACGCGGCCGCGGCTTCTCGAGGCAGGGAGGAGGGAGTGAGAGCTGAGCCGGCTCTTGCCTTGGTATGACCCCTTCCTCGACATGAGCTCTGACCGGAGGCTGCCACACCGTCACAACCACCGCACAAGCAACCGCACAGCCCTGCCTCGTCTCGAATCGTTTGCTCGCAGGAGACAGGTTCGCGCTGGGCCCTCCAGACTCTTTGAGGGCCGGGGCCTTGCTTGGAAGAGGAGAGAAGGAGGAGGAGGAGAACTGGAGCTGACTCTTCTGGTTGTCTGCATCGCCGTGAGAGTTCTGCCATCCGAGGACGTTGGTCGAGTCGCACGTCATCACGTCCCCACAGTTGCAGCACTGCGACGCAGCAGTCGCGTCAGACACGCTGCTCGTCCCCGTCCCCCCTCTCGCCCTCACCTGGATGATGGGAAACGATCCAAACTCGAGCGACAATGTTCCCCACACGCGTTTCATGTCCGTCAGGCTGGACAAGATCCTGGGCGGGAGCTCGACTGCCGATTCGCCATCCTGAAAGCCAGCAGGTGACCAAGAGCACAGCAAGTGCAGTCAAAGGTACCACGAAGAGAGAACGAATGTCCGCGAACTGAATGCCCCACATCATGGTCGACCCGTGATAAAACTTCCCTGAGACTGAACTTTTCCTGCGCTCACTCACAAACAGCTTTCAAGCAATCATGCAAGTAGCACTTTGGCGCAGCCGAGCGGCTGCTCGCTTGAGACTTTTGGAGGCTGCCGCAAGTCTCGATCTCGAGGGAGCATATCAGGTCCGTCGCTTCACGGATAAGTCAGGACTGCTCAAGTCAGGTTTGATCGAAGGAACCTTGGTCCCTCTGGATGTGATAGCTCCCGTAGTAGTTCGCTCCAAACAACAGTCTGCTCGTTGACTCTCTTTCCAACACCTCCTGCAACACCCAACAGCCTCACAAGCTCTGTCCCTCCCTCTCAATCCCTCTCACCGTCGCCAGGCAGAAAGTACCATCCTCCTTGAGCGTGAGGGACAGGGAAGCCGTGAAGGACTGACCGCTAGGTGGTGAAGAAGTCTTGGTGCGATCTGCAACGTACAACTTCCACATCAGCTTCACTGGAAGCCAGCAGGGGGGGTGGACCTTGTCGACTTTCTTTGGAGCGCCATGTACATTCCGAGCTGAACCTCACCTGCGGCTCTAGTCAGGAGTGATGCAGCCGAATCTTCCAAGAGACCATCGAGGGAGTGCGATCGACGACCAGCTCCTCGTCGTTCAACAGCCAGAGGTTGTTCCCGTCTGCTGCAGCGACATCATCGCCGTCACGAGCAGCGAGCGAGTTGGTGGAGAGGTTGTCGGGGCTCTGACTTCCGATCGAATCTCTGGGGCCATCAGTCAGTCGTTCTTGCCAGGCGCTCACAGACTTGACCTCGACTGCCCATTGAGCGCGTGAAAGGCAGGATGTGACAATAAAGATCGCCTATGGCATGCCGTGAGTCTGTAAGAGATCGCCGTGGCTGCGCCACGAACCTGCTGCTGTGTGAGGAGTTGGAAGACGAGTTGGAAGACGAGTTGGAAGAATTGTTCTGTGAGGAAACGCTCTCCCCCCTCTTGTTCTCTGACTCGTTGCACATGTCTGCATTGTCATCTTTGATTTCCGGAAGGGCTCGATTGTTTGGAGTGTGAATGGCCGGGGCGCAAATCGGCGACAAGGTTTCTAATCCATCGCAGAATCTTGAGAGAAAGTCAGGGCAGAGCGCCCAGCAACCTTGTTCACCGACCTGACCCTCGATCCTGGGCACACAAACCTCGGGCCGCTGCGACCTTTGAGGCAAGAAGCTGGAAATCTTTGAGCGTGTATGGTTAACAAGAATCACAGGGAGGACCTGGAGTAGCGGGAGTAGACGGAGCCACCTCTTGATGCTCTGAAACCAACGTCAGCACTTGTCGAGCGAGCTGTGTCGACTAGTCACCAGTGGCCCGTGGGCTCTCTGCAATGACTGAGTCTTGCGTTATGGACGGCCATTCAATCTTCTTCTGCTCGTTGTACTACATGAGGGCGGAGGGAAAGAGGCAGCCCACGGACTCACCGAGCGAGGGGACTCGAGGCAGAAAGACTCGTTCTCGTGAATCTCCTTGTTCACAGTGTTGTCGTTGGGACTTGGGTCCTCTTGGCTCATGGCCGACTGGACAGGCGGTCAGTCATGTTCAACAGCACCAACACGTCATCACAGGAGCTACTGGAGTCAGATTGATGCTGATGGAAGTCTGACTCAGGAAGTTTGATCTGTGGGACCTGGTGAGAGTGAAAGGTGAACTACAAGTGCGAGCAGAAACCAGAGGCACCTGGGTCCGAGAGAGAGGTCGCCTGCTAGGCTCTCAGCCTGTGAAGCTTCTCGGAGGTGCTGGAGCTCACACTCAACGGGAGCAAGACAAGCGAGAGGGGAGGGTACGTTGGTTTGCATCGCACAGAAGAGATCAGCCATGCAAGGAGAGCCTGAGAGATTGGAGGCGTTGGAACCAAGAGGTGTGCACTCAAGGAAGGAAGGCTTCACGGGAGTTCCTTCCAAGCATGGGAAGATTCCTCCTGCACGGCATCATCAGCGTGAGAAAAACTTGATAGCTGAGCAAGGGACCTTTCGAAGGTTGCTCGGGAGATTTGAGGTCTGTGATCCACGACTCAGGAAACTCTGGGTCTTCCTCTTCTTCTGAGGTGAAGGTCACGTTCTCGTCTTCCCGGAAGCTGTCGGGGTGAATGAGAGACTGCATGCCGATCGTCAAGTCCATGACAGTCTGAACTTCAGACTCCGAGGGGTCCTCCTTCTCAGACGCATCTTCCGCTGACGCCCCTTCCCTCTTCTCTGGGTGGTATGCCAGAGCCTCGTCGAGCGGTGGGAATGCAATTCTGTCATTCGCCTTGAACGGATTCCTGCGTTTGTTGTTGGGGTTTGAATTCTCCTCCGACGGTGCAGGAACATCAGTATGACCCCCTCGCATCCTTGCTTTCTCGGCTGCTTTCCTTTCTCGCCTTCTCACATCACCCGTGAAAGCTGATGATTGTAACAAGATTTCAGTCAACAACAGCAAACAAGGAGGTCAAACCAAGCAAAGGAGAAGCATGTGAGGCATCATGTGTTACGGATCCATGGAATCGTGATTCGATGAAACGTACAACAAACAAGACTGGAATGTACTATTTATCTACCAGACGGAATCATACAGGACGATTAGTGAAAAATTGAAACAAAATGAGCAAGTTAGAATGAGAAACTGAACAATATACAATGTACAGAAAAGGCAGGGAAAACAGAGAAATCAGTGGAGCTGAGATGATTTGGTGATATTAGCGGAGGAGGAAAGGCAACATGTAGTTTCGAAAGAAGCCCCAAATGAACGAGTGAACTTGCATGGATATGAAGTAGTTGAAATGAAGGGATGAGAGGGAAAACAGGGAAAAGGGAGAGGAAAGTCATCGGTAAACAGATACGATGGGGGGGCAGGAATGAATATGGTGTGAATTTAAGAAGATCTATCAGCAGAACAGCAGAGCAGCAGGAGCAGCAGGAGCAGCAGCAGCAGCAGCAGCAGGAGCAGCAGCAGCAGGAACAGGAGCAGCAGCAGCAGCAGCAGGAGCTCCTGTGTTGTTCACGCATGGACGGGCACGGGGGCGGGCAGGGTTCAGAGGCGGGTCAAGCTCTGAGCCACTAGCTGGAAGGCGTGGCTTATTTTCCGTTACAAACATGGAACCACATTTTGTAACGGTTTTTGGTGGTGAACCCGTAGGGATGGAGGGGACAGATTTCGTGGTGGTGGGAGCCGGGAGGATGGGGGCGAGCATCGCAGGTTACCTTGCGACATGCGGGAAGACAGTAGGTATGCACGACAGAACAGAGTTCGACATGAACAAAGGGATGGAGATCTTGCGGGCTGACATGAAGGCGTACGTGGAGAAAGGGCTGCTCACTGAACAGGACAAGGAGGAGGCGGTTAGGAGAATTCGGCTGGTGGGGACGCATGATGAGGTTGTTAAGTCCAAGGTCGTGATTGAGTGCATCTTCGAAAATGTTGAGGAGAAGAGAAAACTCTTCAGCTCTCTCATTGCGTCAGCAGAGAAAGCGAAGCTGCGTCCGATCCTCGCCACAAACTCCATCAATTTCTCGATCAAGGACATTGTACCGAACCGCGAGGAGATCTCGATGACGACGTGCGGGATCAGATTTCTCCATCCTGTATGGTTCATACCTCCTGTGGAGATTTCTTCGCAAGAAGAGCAGCGGCCGTTAGAGCTGGCCGCGCTATGGGAGGAGTGCGTAGGGCTTGGGCTAGAGCCTTTCTACATGTCAACCAAGGGGCTGAAAGGGTTTGGTCGTAGGAAGTTATACCAGGATGAAATTGACAAGTACCATCAGCACCGCAAGGCGACTGTCTCCTCCTCCCTCCGCGGAGGACAGGCACCCGCGCCCAGAGGTTCGGGCAGTGTGGGGAGGGAGTGCGGTATCTGCATGGAGCCGAGCAGGGTGAGCATGATTTTGAGTCCCTGCGGGCACAAAGACCTCTGCAAGGAGTGCACGAACAAGATCATGAGTGGAACTAGGACATGCCCGACATGCAGGAGGGCAGTGGAACGAGTGCTCGAGGCAGACTCGGGTGCTGACCTTTGAAGGACTTGCAAGTGCAGCAGGTCGGAAGTGCCATGCGCATTGCTCCGGCCTTGAGATCGTGGCATGTATGAGATCTTGTTTCAGGACTAGCCTTGAGAGTGTTGTACCTATTAAATCTTTCTGCACATCGCTAAGGACACTGCCAGCATGTGTTGCTCCCCGGCAGCAAGATGCCTCGGCAAATCGGAAAACGTTGAGCAGAACCGTTGATGGCGTTATCCGGTTGCCTTGACAGCACAAAAGAAGGAATCAGTGTCTCAACAAGTAACTCGTTTCGTATCACAATCAACACTCATGCGAAGACTCGGATTAGCATAGCGAAAGTTATATTTCATGTTGCCAGCATGACAGCTGTCATAAGACAGAAAGAGAAGTTTGGTTATCTTCAGAGTCTTCAGTCTAAGGTCGACTTGCTAGGAGCCAACAGATGTCAAACGCTCATGGCATCAGCAGCATCGGCAGCATCGGCAGCGCATCATGAGCTCGAGCAAGCTCCCTTACCTCTCGCCAGCATGTCAGCGGCCGGGGCGAACCAACACTCATGACCCCACCCTTCTCTACAATGGGGGGTAGCTGAACAAGGGGTGGTATCTGATAGGTGGGTTCTGAATGAGGAATTCAGGGGTAGAGATGATAGGAATGTGGGTGAGAAGGGTGGGGTGGAATCAAAAGGGGGGGTAGAGTAGATCACAGTCTGAAGTAGGGGTAGTGGGGATGCGCCTCACCAGAGCATGTGCCGCTCATGGAGATCCGAAAGGGGGGGGGAGGGTGGGGAGGAGGAGGAGGAGGAGGAGGAGGAGGTGATGGAGAGGATATGAGTCTGAGAGGATATGAGATGGAGAAATATGAGACGGAAGGCAGCAGGGTAAGATCACAACAGAGCTCATGTGGAGGTTTGAGAAAGGAAATTGATGAAGGAGATTTGTGCCTCAATGGCATGAAGCTCTCGACAACCATGCTAACTCTAGTCTTGAGGTAGGGGTGCAAGTTGCAACAAAGTGACATTGCTGCAGGATTGATGCTCAACAACATCGTTGAGATGGTTTGCCTTCGACATCATATCATGTTTCGCATTCTATTCCTTTGCGCCATGATATTTGTCAGGATGCCGCATGAAAGCATGGCAAGCATGAATCAGTGCATGAGCTCAGTCAGACGATCGTGCGGCCTCTCTGCAGATGGTTGTCCGTCGGTTGTGAGGAGAAGAGGCATCAGGCTGCTCTGCTTGCGAGTGCGTGGGGGATCAACGAAATCGGATGAAAGCTCCTCTTCTATGGAGGATTCGGTGATGACACAAGACCTGCGGGTCCGTCAATGTGACGGAGTTTGCTTCACAGACTCCGGACATTCAAAGTGACTTGTCCTCTCTTTCTTCATCGTCCGATGCAGTAACGTCGTCTTGTGTGCTGGTTGTAGCTGATTGTGCTGCTGCAGCCAAAGCAAGCGAGCCATGAAGAAACGAAGCCGACAATTGGTGCTGTAAAAGACGAAGATGAGTCGGAGAAGAGTGATCCGGTGAATGAGGCTATCTCGAGTGCTTTTGCTCTGGAGTATCAGCAGCGGAACGAGAAAACGAGGAGAGATTACGCCGCCAAGTTCCAACAGGGTGTTGGTAGTGGAACAGCGGGAGTAGCGGGCGAGCCGACCGAGCTGCTTCCCAGGTTCGAGCCTGTCTTCAGCGGTCACAACATGGAGGTCATTGAGGATGGTCGAACGCTGCGGAAGAAGGACTGGAGCATCGTGCATGGCCGAGTCCTCGGTCTGGACAGGAAGGTGTGGTACGAAGACAAGGAAGAGAACGTGGCGTATGGCTACCAGGCTCCTTCCACCCTCGTGTTGGGCAGATCCTCCTCCATGGGCGTCGAGCGCTACTCCTTTCTCATCCGAGAGATCCAAGGAGGGAGCTTTTTCCTCGGCTTCCTCGAGCTTCCCTTCAAGCCGGTGCAGCAGTGGCCCAACTTCTTTGATACCTGCGCCTGGATGCTCGCAGATGGAGGGAACGTGTTCCGCACGGGGCCCGACGTAGGAGGAGAAGGATACTACGACTCGCCGCAGGACGAGCTTCCTCTGATGGGGAGGAGGTTTGCGATGAAGACGGGGTTCGAGGTACTGACGGAGCTGCTGCGGCGGGAGCTCTACACTCAATACCCCAACGTGACGACACCAGGGATCTGGACGTTCGGGGAAGGGTCGGTGGTGTCGCTAGAGATCAACAGGGAGGAGAGGGAGCTGCGCTTCGAAGTTAACGACGCTCCTCCCTTCACCCTGCGCAACGTCTCCTCCTCCGCCCTGCCCTTCGTGACGCTCCTGTACCCCAACGACACCGTCTCCCTCCTCTCTCCCGCCGAGGAGCAGTTCTTTCGTGCAAGGTGGAAGTCGAAGAGGAGGGGGCCGGAGGACCCGGACTACTGGGTGTGGGACTGGGAGCGATGGCGCCCGTCCGACGGTGGTCTGATCTGGAAGGATGGGAAGTACGTGGAGGATCCTAACAAGAAGAACAGGTGGGAGAGAGGAAGGAGGGAAGAAGACGGGGACGGAGGGGGACGGAGGGTTTGACGAAATGCAGATGGTTTCCAACCTACGACAACAACGACGGGAGGAGCCCGGTCCCCGGGCTGAGCCTGACGGAGTACTTGATATTGAAGAGCTCGTATGACGAGCAGGCGCACGAGAAGCGGAAGAAGGAGAGGGAGAGACGAGACAAGAAGTATCGGCAACTCCTCCCTGCTTTCTCATGCGCTTCCGTTCCCCGCTACCTCCTCCACCCATCGTTGCTCTGCCAATCTCTCCCAGCCCTGTCCCCTCCGCACGTCTCTCCCCTTCCCCTCTTGACATCGAGATGGCAGGACACTGGAACGAGGGGACATGCCGAGAGAGCTGAAGCGAGTGATGAAGGAGGAGGACAAGGGTAAGTGGAGAGATTTGGAGGAGAAGCTCGAGGAGCTGAAGAGCAGAGGCAAACTAAATTGAATCGTAACGTCCTGACGCAAACTAAATTGAATCGTAACGTCCTCATTCTCCTCGTGTACCCTCGTCTCCCTCTCGTCGCCCCCCCCCCCCTCCTCCTCCTCCTCCTCCTCCTCCTCCTCCTCCTCCTCCTCCTCGTCATCATCATCATCATCGCTCTCCCTCTCCCCCATCTGCCTGTCCCGAAGCCTCTCATCTTTCATTGAGAACGTCTCCGTAAGTCCTCGGGCCCTCCGCTATGCCGATGTGCTGCATGTACAACCTCCCGCCCTCGATCTGCGCCGTCCACCTCGGCTGCATCGTTCTCGGGTCCCAGTTCAAAGCCTGGGGCAAGTGAGATGACCGTGAGGAGGAGGAGAGATCGAGGAGTATGGTAGGAGAGGAGAGAGGAGGAGAGGAGAGGAGTATGGCAGGAGAGGGAGACAGGAGAGAGAAGGCGTGGAGACAGGAGACAGGAAAATAGAGAGAGAGGAGGAGGGGTGGGGAGGGGGCGGAGGACGAAGAGAGAGGAGCTACCTCCAGCAGGTTCTGGAGGCCTCGGAGCTCATTGATACGCATGTCGGTGATGTCGGAGGAAGCTGCTCTAACGAGGGGACAGTCTAAGAGAGTCTGCAAGGAGGGTCAGAGGGACGACAAGAGAGAAGGCGGGAGGAGAGAGGGAGGGAGGAGGGAGGGAGGAGGGAGGGAGGGAGGGAGGGAGGGAGGGAG